AATAAAATTGAATTGAATTGAATTGAATTGAATTGGATCTACTTCAAAATTGGTCAGTGCAGTCAACACATGGTGCTGAATGAATGCTGTTCATTTTTTGACTGTACTTATAAAATGCAAAACACATTGTTGATTATATGTGATGACTGCGGTGAGGGGGCATGTCTGTAGCGTGGCGGGAAATTTTGATGTACCGCTACAAAACACGAATTTGCTATAACTTGAGTGTACATTGTCCAATCAGCTCCAAACTTCACTTGTCTGATAAGAGTCCCGCCCTGAACACGTCTATGTGATAATATTCTGTAAAAGTGAGAGCGCCACCTAGTGGTGAAAGGAAATGTCATTTTTTTATACTTCCATGTTCTACTCCTAGTAGGATGATCAGATCAAGCTGAAATCTTGTCAGAAAATGGAAAACATGTTCTTGATGATATTTCTTGATTGTGGTGAGTTTTTGTTACAGGGCGTGTCCGTGGCGTGGCGTCAAACTTTGATTTACCGCCAGAACACACAAAGTTGCTATAACTTGAGTGTACATTGTCCAATCGGCTCCAAACTTCACATGTCTGATAAGAGTCCCGCCCTGAACACATAGTGATAGCGCCACCTAGTGGCAACAGGAAGTGCTGCGTGGCGATTTTTAGTTGATTTACGTGAGATTTTCATGTCGTGGTCCGCACGTGTTACAACGGCACGTGACGCGGCCGCAGCAGGCCCCGGGTTGCATGGAGTGCGAGGTCCCGTCCATCGCTGCTTGCAGCTTTAATTATTATTATTATTATTAAATATTCTATTATGAATTGGCGCTATACAAATAAAACTGAATTGAATATATGCGTTTATGTATGTGTGTGTTTATATTTATGTGTTTGTGAAGCATTTTGTAACTGCGTGTTTTATTACTGTGATCAGTGAGGTCTGATGGAGTATGGGTACAACATGACTGAGCATGTGATCTCAAAGGGTTACATTTTTCATTCCATCGGGACTTTAAGAATGTCCGTTTCTGTGAAGATAAAAACATTTTTGCAGTTTTTGCCCGTTGCTTGAACACGTTTTGCAAAACTTGGCTCATTGTGTCAAAACCCTACACACAAGCAAATAAGACACAACACGGGAAATAAACCATTCACATCTGTGTCAAATTGAAACTCTGCTATCAAAACCTAACAATCCTTTGTCAAAATGATACCCACTTGCATCATATGAATACACTTTCAGATCAGCAGCAACACACTTGTCTACTTTACATAAAACACTGCAGTCTTTCATTTTCACTGTTTTTATTCAGTTCCACAGAAGGCACTTTTTCACAACAAACAAAAAATGAAATACTCAATTCAAAATCATTACATTACAGTAGTGTATTTTCCAGTACAGTAAATTCAGTTAAAGCAAAAATAAAACAAAAATAAAACAAACAATACACTACTGTAAACACAGGAAAACACAATTGTGCGCAAGTAGGCTTATGGATCCTGCCGTCTGTTGGGGTCTGGCCACAGGATCTCATCAACATCACAAGCAATGTCTTCTCTCGCTAAGCATCGGGGAAAATATCCCCTTGTGTGCCGAATCCATCCCTGGATTGACCTTACCTCAATGTCTCCGCAGGCCTATTCCATTGCCTGCAGAAGAGGCATACAGGCACGGACGTAATTTGGGGGGGGGACACAGGGGACATGTTCCCTGCACCTTTTCAAAAGTTCGTTTTGGTCCCCTGCAGTTTTTACCATCCAAAACAGTGTTATGCTATAGTAAACAGAGAGCCGTCAAGCACTAGGACCAAGCGGAAAACGGCCGCTCAAGCTGAAGCCTGTTTCCCTTAGTTTAGACTGCCCACAAGCTCCTCGATTGGCTTTACTGTTTCTTGCGTGATTGGCCGTCCCCACTGTCACTCCATCTTGCTTGCACACCGGTACTGCTATGTAAATGAGGTCTGTTTACCATATATTCTAAAAATAAGTGTAAAATTGGTGGTACTGAGTTGGATTGAAGTTGACAAACAAGGTGAAACACAGAATTGGGTGTTTTGCTACATGCTTTACAACCAGTCAAACCAAAAAAGGGAACAGTAAACTTAAAAGTAGCAATAGAAAACTAGAAGAACTACTAGAAAACACAGTGAACTGAAAGAGTTAGAGTTTTACTAAAAATACTTGTGTCCCCCCCACCTCTGAAATCAAAATTTCGTCCTTGCATACGGGCATGTGGTTGGCGGTCATATATGCGCCATCTCCAAGCGGAAAAAAATTCCTCCAAAGGATTTAGAAATGGCGAGTAAGGGGGCAAGTACACAACTTTAAATTGATCATGGTTGGTGAACCAGTTCTGGACCAGAGCAGCCGGATGGAAATTAACATTATCCCGGACAACAACAAACCTAGGCTGCTCTGGTCTATCCTGTACAACTGCATCATGAAGTGCATCTAGAAATGTGATTATGTGTTGCGCATTATAGGGACCCAGTTTGGCATGATGGTGCAGTAGCCCTCGAAGACTTATGGCGGCACAAAATGTGATATTTGCCCCGCACTGTGTGCACAATTGGCCAATTATATTACGTCCCCGTCTTGCTAAGGTTGAATCCAGCCTCGTCAATGTAAATACATTCATGAGGCTGGGCAGCTCCATCCATGTCCAAGATTCTCTGTAACAAAAAATACATATTGTGGATGGCTTTACTCAAAGCACACAACTACACTACTACACATACAGAACTGCCCCACCCCACCACACAGGTACCTGTGTAGCTTTCTGAATGTATTTATGTGGTACTGATCCAGTGGTACATATTCAGCTGTTACTAGACTGCACCCATTCTGTATTCTAAATGTAAAGGACTGTAACACTTACCTGTAAATATTCATGTCGAAGTTCTTTGACCCTGACACTGTTCCTCTCAAATGGGACCCTGTACAATTGCTTCATGGTCATGTTGTGCTTTACCAAGATGCGTCGGATAGTGGTAAAGCTTACTCGATTTATGTTGTTGAATACTTGCATATCTGCAAGTATTTGTTGCTGTAGCTGGTGGAGACGGATTGCATTGTTTGCTCTGACTAGGTTCACTATGGCAAGTTCCTGCTGTTGGGTCAACAGGCGTTGGCGTCCACCCCCAGCAGGTCTTCTAGCCATTCTGTAGAAAAATGCAACCACAAATTGTTATTGTTTGCTTCTTTTTTACAGTACTGTCTATGCTGTAATTTACTGTATTTACCATACACAGTATTGAAACATCTCAACACGTTATCACGGTATGTTTCACAAATCTACCAATTTTGTTCGAAAAGGAGCATTAGCCACCCTGCAATACAGTACATGTGATACGGTAACGTGATATGGTACAGTACTGTAAATACTCTAGATACAGTCTGAGTAGAGTAGAGAGTTGAAGACCTACCTGTTTTCCAGTCGGAATGTCCTTATTATGGATGAAACTGTGAAATGGCTTAGATTAGGGTGGACTCTCTGCCCAGCTTCCCTCATAGTCAGGCCATGGTTTATGACCACGTCTTCCTCTCTCTCTCTGTCTTCCTCTTCCTCTGCCTCTAGCTCTCCCTGCCTCCATGTTTGCAAAGTTCTCCAAATGGCTTAACTGAGGCCTTTTTGTAGCTGGCTGATTGGTGTTCAGTTTTATAAGTAAGTATTTTCAGGTGTGTGTCTGTATTTTCAATTAACCAATGTGTGTCATATTTTACCAATGGTACCCTGAGATTTCATTTTTTGAACTAAGTGTGTTATGTATGAAATAGTATGTAGTGTGCAGGAGCAAGTGTGTTACAGAATTGCAACTAAAGTGCAAAGCAGCGCTTTTGTTTAAGGTATAGTAACAACAACTTCAAGTTATGTTACTTTGGTTTAAGCATGTGTCTATAGTGTTGGGTAGCAATGGGTAAAAACTGTAAAAAGACAACTAGTGGATGAATGTCAGTGTCATCCTCCCTCTTCAAATCCTCTCTGCTCCACACTGTCACACCAAACTCCATTCAAAAAACGGCTGTTTTAGGGAAGTAAAACCAGTGAGACTCTGTTTCTCTTCAATCTACAGACACAATCTGCTCACATTGACTCAGTAACATCATTAACTAACCTGTGAGGAAGACTTGGACACCACACACTCACTGACTGTCTGTCATTAACTAACCTGTGAGGAAGACTTGGACACAGACACACTCACTGACTGTCTGTCATTAACTAACCTGTGAGGAAGAGTTGGACACAGACACACTCACTGACTGTCTGTCATTAACTAACCTGTGAGGAAGAGTTGGACACACACACACTCACTGACTGTCTGTCATTAACTAACCTGTGAGGAAGAGTTGGACACACACACACTCACTGACTGTCTGTATTGTTTGATGAGTAAAATGTGACCCAGCAACTTTTAGGGAGGGAGCACACACACACACACACACACACACACACACACACACACACACACACACAGTAACACAGTGTGACGATGAGTCATTGACAGATCCCTGGAAGGGTGTGTCTGTCTGTCTGTCTGCTTGTCTGTCTGTCTGCCTGCTTGTCTGTCTGTCTGTCTGTCTGCCTGCCTGCCTGCCTGCCTGTCTGCCTGTCTGTTTGTCTGTCTGTCTGTCTGTGGTGGGTCTGGTCTTAATCTGCTCTTTGGTTTCCATGGTAACACATAATAATAACAAAGCAATAATCCAGTTTGATCTCAAGAGAAAGAAAAACTTCATCAAACAAAAGTTCATTTAAAAATAACATTGACACACACACCCAAAATATGTGTGTTACTGTATGTGTGTGTATGTGTGTTACTGTGAGTGTGTGTGTGTGTGTGTTAGGGGTGTGTAACTGTGTGTGTGTGTGTGTGTGTGTGTGTGTGTGTGTGTGTGTGTGTGTGTGTGCTGGGGTGTGTTACTGTGTGTGGGTGTGTGTGTGTGTGTGTGTTAGGGGTGTGTTACTGTGTGTGTGTTACTGTGTGTGTGTGTGTGTGTTAGGGGTGTGTTACTGTGTGTGTGTGTGTGTGTGTGTGTGTGTGTGTGTGTGTGTGTTAGGGGTGTGGTCTGTGGGTGCGGTTCAGGTCTTAAAACTCTCATATTTCCCTCAGTGTGTTTGTGCTGCTCTCGCTCTCTTGCTCTCTCTCAGGGGAACTCAGGTACGTTATTTTTCTTTGGATTTTGTGTTTGTTTGATTGATTGTTTGATTGTTTGTTTGATTGATTGTTTGTGTTGGCTTTGAGCCGTCTAACAGAAAGTTTCTCTCTGAGTCTGACGATGAAACAGAATCAGGAAGTGAAACTTTGAGACAGAGTGAGCGCTCTGCAGTTTGTTTCTGCTCTTTGTTTGTTTGTTTGTTTGTTTGTTTTGTTGCTGAAGAAAATAAAACATAAAGACATCTGTGAGGTCAAACTTTATTGACAGCGACAGTGAAGACAGAGAGGACCACAGCTCTGTACAGGAAGTAGAATTATACAGTCAGTCTGTGTTCATCGTGTGCTTCTGCTGTTGTTGTTGTTGTTGTTTCTGTTGCTGTTGTTGTTTCTGTTGCTGTTGTTGTTGCTGCTGTTGTTGTACTTTCTCTGCACACCACCAGCACAAACAGACACAAACACTGTGAGTCATTTAAAGGGACAGTACACATTGTGATTTTGTGTTGGGACTCGTCAGCCGCTCCCTCACTGACTGTTTCTCTGTTTCAGATCTCAGACGAGCAACATGAATGTAAGTGTGACTTTATCTTTATCAGCCTTATTCTTATTGATTGATTGATTGATTGATTGATTGACAGAACTCCCTCTGGTGAAAGGAGAGACAGAAGAACACTTGATTAATAAATAATAATAATTCATGATCATTTATCAAAACTTACATATTTCTATAACTCATTAAAGTGAAAAATGCAATAATTATATAGAAACAGACACTGACAGGTTCAACTCGCTGCGATCAATAAAAACATTTTCATCTTTTCTTTCTAAAATTCAAAGAAGAAAAAAAAAGATCTCAACAAAAGGTTAAAGTTAAAGAAATCAGTTACATTACTAGTTACTGGAGAAATCCTATCCTATTATAACCGTTATTATGATTATTATTATTTACTGTTAATGGTTACAGGTCCGTTCAGGGTTAATCTGAAGTCCAGTAGAGGAACATTAATCACAGCCGGTACAGCAGCTCAGTGCAGGTCTGAAGAACTCCTCAGAGAGTCCGAGAGTCCGAGCTCAGACCGACTCACCCGCCTCAAAAAAGCTGCTGTGAGCTGATGGTTCTGATGGTTCTGATGGTTCTGATGGTTCAGTGTGGCACTGCGAGGCTCCTGTACAAAGAAATACAGGAAGTTCAAAAGATCCAATAAATAATATCTTCAGTGTCAAAGTGAAGAGCAGGGCCTTCTCAACCATTAACAATCATAATCATTAATATTCATAATAATTAATCATAATCATAATCATTAATAATCATTAATAATAATCATCATTAATAATCATTAACGATCATAATCATTAATAATCAGTAATAATACAAATTACTGCTAGGGAGGTTTTCCTGACATCAGCAGCCATGTTTGTAGTTCTGTGAACATTTAGTGGATGTTTCACAACTCCACAAAGACACTCAGTATGTGTGTGTGTGTTTGGGGGGGGGCATACAGTACATTCCTGGTGAGCCTGTCACCAACACACCCTGAACACACCCTGTGGGCTGTGTTGCGTTCAGGGACAGCTCAGACTGTCAGACTCACTGCAGTTTGTCATTTTACACACACAGTCTTTAATCTGTGTGTGTACTGTGTGTTACTGTGTGTGTGTACTGTGTGTTACTGTGTGTGTTACTGTGTGTGTGTACTGCGTGTTACTGCGTGTGTTACTGTGTGTGTGTTACTGTGTGTTACTGTGTGTGTTATTGTGTGTTACTGTGTGTGTGTGTGTACGTGTTATTGTGTGTTACTGTGTGTGTTACTGTGTGTTACTGTGTGTGTGTGTACTGTGTGTTACTGTGTGTGTTACTGTGTGTTACTGTGTGTGTGTACTGTGTGTTACTGTGTATGTTACTGTGTGTGTGTACTGTGTGTTACTGTGTGTGTTACTGTGTGTGTGTACTGTGTGTTACTGTGTGTGTTACTGCGTGTTACTGCGTGTTACTGTGTGTGTGTTACTGTGTGTTACTGTGTGTGTTACTGCGTGTTACTGTGTGTGTGTGTTACTGTGTGTTACTGTGTGTGTTACTGTGTGTGTTACTGCGTGTTACTGTGTGTGTGTTACTGTGTGTGTTACTGCGTGTTACTGTGTGTTACTGTGTGTGTGTTACTGCGTGTTACTGTGTGTGTGTTACTGTGTGTTACTGCATGTTACTGCGTGTTACTGTGTGTGTGTTACTGTGTGTTACTGTGTGTGTTACTGCGTGTTACTGTGTGTGTGTTACTGCGTGTTACTGTGTGTGTGTTACTGTGTGTTACTGTGTGTGTGTTACTGCGTGTTACTGTGTGTGTGTTACTGTGTGTTACTGCATGTTACTGCGTGTTACTGTGTGTGTGTTACTGTGTGTTACTGTGTGTGTTACTGCGTGTTACTGTGTGTGTACTGTGTGTTACTGTGTGTGTGTGTACTGTGTGTTACTGTGTGTTACTGTGTGTTACTGTGTGTGTTACTGTGTGTTACTGTGTGTTACTGTGTGTGTGTTACTGTGTGTTACTGTGTGTGTACTGTGTGTTACTGTGTGTTACTGTGTGTGTACTGTGTGTTACTGTGTGTTACTGTGTGTGTGTACTGTGTGTTACTGTGTGTGTACTGTGTGTTACTGTGTGTGTTACTGTGTGTTACTGTGTGTTACTATGTGTGTGTACTGTGTGTTACTGTGTGTGTACTGTGTGTTACTGTGTGTGTACAGTGTGTGTACAGTGTGTTGTGTTGACAGAAATGTCGATCAGTTCAATCAGTTCGATCAGTTCTCTAGAATCAATAACTAATAACTGCTCAGAACTACGTGTTCACAATGACAATGCTAACATGCTAATGTTTATCATGTTATCCATCTTAACTAACTAACTAACTAACTAACTAACATGCCAAAAGAAGGTAACTGTAATCCATTAGAGTTACAGAAAAATATGTAATCAGATTACAGTTACTTTTAGTAAAATGCAGAGTATTAGTAGAATTATTGCTGCCTTTTGCACTACCATAAGTATTGTATTGTATATTTTATATTATTGTATATTTTATTGTCTGTTGTGAAACTGAATGTTTAAATTTTAGTATTTATCGTATTTATTTAGAAATGTCTTGTCTTATCTGTTGTGCCTATGCACTTTATCTGTTTCACAAATTTGCTGTTGAGGTAATCCAAAAGTAATGGAAAGTAATCAAGTTACTTTACTATTGTGATACTTGGGTAAGGTTACTGTCAAAATGTTTGAACAGGTTATTAGTAATTGGATTACATTTTTAAAGTTAAAGGTAGGAAAGGAGGCACCTGGTGGACGTTAGAGGAACTGCAGCCTCTGTTTGAACTTCCTGTATCTTTCTCTCTGCAGCTGGAAGACGCTTTAGGTGGTTGGCCTGCTGGTGGCAACAACCAATCAGGAGGCAGCGCTGGCTGGCCAGGACAACCCACCAATCCTGCTTGGCCAGGTACAATTATTTCAATTCAATTTTATTTGCATAGCGCCAATTCATAACAGAAGTTATCTCAGGACACTTTTCAAATAGAGCAGGTCTAGACCGAACTCTTTATAACTGTTAAGAGGCAGAAACCTAGGACAGACCCTTCGGCTCTAGGTGGGTGGTCGTATGTCTCGACCAGTTGGAGTGAAAGAGAGAGAGAGAGAGAGACAGACAGACAGACAGACAGATAGGTGCACAGCAACAACAGTAGCAACAACTACACTAATAGTAGTGACTGATGATGATGAACATGACAACAACAACGATGGGGGACAATGAGCAGTGACAATAGTAATAATAGTAGCTGTAGTAATAATAATATTAATAATAATAATAACAATTAAAGCTGCAAGCAGCGTTGGGCGGTACCTCGCACTCCACGCAACTCGGGGCATGATGCGGCCACAACATGGAAATGTCACGTAAATCAGATCAAAATTGCCATGCAGCGCTTACTTCCTGTTGGCAGTAGGTGGCTCTCTCACTATATCTGAATATTGTCCTGTAGATGAGTTCAGGGCGGGACTCTCATCAAATGTGAAGTTTTGTTGAGATTGGACCATGTACACTGAAGTTATGATAACTTCCTGTTGCCACTAGGTAGCGCTATCACTATTACTGAATACGATCTCATAGATGTGACTCTTATCATAAATAAATATATCAACCATATGTTTTGCATTTTCTGACCACATTTGAGCTGGATCTGATCAACCTGATAGGAGTAGAACATAAAATTATAAAACTTGATATTTCCTGTTGCCAGTAGGTGGTGCTATCATTATATCTGAATATTGTCATGTAGATGTGTTCAGGTCGGGACTCTTATCAAACGTGAAGTTTCATTGAGATTGGACCATGTACACTGAAGTTATGAGGACATGTACCGGGTGGGACTGTTACACAAGTGAAGTTTAGTGGAGATTAGACATTGAACATTGAAGTTGAGTACTATCTACTTCATGGCGAATCGTCGAAATTCAATGCAACCCCACAGGCACACTGTTCAAGGTACAGTCACAAATAGCACAACTTGTAATCAGGAACATATTTCAAGTGTACTGTCCAGTTTTAAAGCAGATCTGATAAATTCCATGAGTTCGTTTGTTCAAATACAAGACCACGGAATTAAAAACGGCCAACTTTGACGGCATGCCACAGACACGCCCTTCAACGTACAGTCACAAAAAGAACAGCGTTCATTCAGCAACATTTTTTGACTGTACTGGCTAATTTTGAAGTAGATCCGATAAAACCTGTAGGAGGAAGTAGTTAAAATAGAAGCCCTGAAATGCCAAAAATGACATCACAGTTTGACATTCGATTCAAAATGGCCAGCTTTCACGACACGCCACGGACACAGATCCCAGAAATTCCCTAGGAGGAGTTCGTTCAAATAAAGCCCAAAATGTCAAAATGACCACAAAATGGTTTAAAATCGAAATTGCAGACTTCCTCAGGGTTTTGGGGCATGGGTCCAAGAGGCATGTTACACATGCCTACCGAGTTTCATACATATCGGTGAAACGTGGGCGCCCGGGCTGCTTTTTAAAATCCTGTAGGGGGCGCTACAAACACGAAAAACACAATTTTTGGTATGTGAGCTACAGGCACCAGTCTACACGTGTCCTGTGAATTTCATATTCATAACTATTACGGTCTCCGCATAGTGATTTACTCTGCCACCAGAGTGCCACATAGTGGCGTGATTTTTTTTCCTTTTATGGTGAGCCTCGGGGAGCCATGGGCAATCATCCTACCAAGTTTCATTTTAATCACACTTGCCGTTGCCGAGATATAAACTTCTTCATTTTAAAGAGCGCCACCTTGTGGTGAAATTGTGTACGATGCATAATGAAGACATAATAAACTATTGATCCAAGTTTGGTGTCAATCAGACATACCAATGTGGAGAAATGCCCAACTTCCTTTTTTGACGAAAAATCAACAGGAAGTGCTAATTTAATAACTTGCTTATTTTTTGAAATATCAAAATACTTTAAATAACTTTTTTTGTCAGGACGGTCTCCAGATGCTACGTGCAAAATTTCGTGTGAATTGGACAAAAAGTGCACGGATGGAGCACGAACACAGTTTTTGGACATTTCGCGCTCTAGGGGGAAAAAAAAGTGGCCTATATAGGGAGATACAGCTCCGTTCACCGAACGCGTGGATACAAGGTTTTTGAATGTGAGACAAAGTATGCGGGAGTTATCAGCCTAAACACATTTTTTATGATAGTAGCGCCACCTAGTAGCCGACCTGAATGTGACGCATAGAATATCCGATTTTACACCAGGCCCGACAACTTTGCCAAATAAAATTCACGAAACGTATACATTCAGGGGGTCAAAAATGCAGTGAAAGGTCCTAAACGTAATAATAAACGGACCAATCACAATAGGGACCTTCCAGTTGTCACTGGCTTGGTGCCTAATAATATCAGTGATATTGGCAATGGCAGCAAATGGCAGGCTCCACCAGGATCGACAAGAACCTGCGAGACGAGAAAGCACAAGAACTCCGGGGAAGAAGTGAAGTTAGTAACATGCATTAATGGGACATGAATGAGTGCAGAAAGAGAGGAAGGGAGGAGCTCAGTGCACCATGGGAAATCCCCCGATAGTCTAGGCCTATAGCAGCATAACTAAGGGATGGTTCAAGACTCACCTGATCCAGCCCTAACTATAAGCTTTATCAAAGAGGAATGTCTTAAGCCTACTCTTGAATGTGGTGAGGGTGTCTGCCTCCCGAACCACAACTGGAAGCTGGTTCCACAGGAGAGGAGCTTGGTAACTGAAGGCTCTGGCTCCTGTTCTACTTTTAGAGACTATAGGAACCACAAGTAGCCCAGCATTCAGAGAACGTAGTGTTCTAGAGGGGTAATAGGGTACTATGAGCTCTTTAAGATATGAAGGGGCCTGACCATGAAGAGCTTTATAGGTGAGGAGGAGGATTTTAAATTCTATTCTACATTTTACAGGGAGCCAATGCAGAGAAGCTAGTACAGGAGAGATGTGATCTCTTTTTCTAGTTCCTGTCAGTACTCGTGCTGCAGCGTTCTGAATTAATTGGAGCGTTTTAATGGACTTATTGGGGCAGCCTGATAATAAAGAGTTGCAGTAATCCAGCCTAGAAGTAACAAATACAAGGATTAGTTTTTCTGCATCTGTCTGTGATAGTATGTGTCTAATTTTTGTAATATTACGTAAATGAAAGAAGGCAGTCCTAGAGGTCTGCTTTATGTGGGAGTTAAATGACAAATCCTGATCAAAGATAACTCCAAGATTCCTGACAGTGGTGCTAGAGGCCAAGTTAATGCCATCTAGAGTAACTATATCTTTAGACAGTGAGTCTCTAAGGTTTTTGGGGCCAAGAACAAGAAGAGTTTAACATCAGAAAATTGCAGGTCATCCAGGATTTTATGTCCTTAAAACATGTTTGTAATTTAGATAATTGATTAATTTCATTGGGCTTGATTGATAGATATAACTGCGTATCATCTGCATAACAGTGAAAGTTAATGGAGTGATTCCTAATAATGTTGCCTAAAGGGAGCATATATAGAGTAAATAGTATTGGTCCAAGTACAGAACCTTGTGGAACTCCATGACTAACTGTAGTATTTATTGAAGATTCATCGTTAACATACATACAGACTGCGAACGATAAATATGACTTAACAATTATCATCTTCTAGTCCATCTCCACCTCTCTGGGCTGGTTTACAGAGTTTCCTGATCGACAGATAGTAGCCAACTGTGTAGCTGCTGTTAGCAGGACCAGGCTATGTAGCCTCCCAGTGAACTGAGACGGGAACCAAACACAGCATCCAAGACCAACAGGGAATGCAGTACCAAGTTTACCTGCTGCTGACTGTACTGCTGTTTGCTGCTAACTGAGCTAACTAGCTAACTGTCTGTGTTCACTGGGAAGCTTCTGACCCTGCTAACAACAGCTACAGTCAAAGCTAATCCTGCGTATGAAGGCTGTAATAGAACTGAACAAAGACAGGATCTGTTTGTGTGTAAAGGTCAACCCTCCTCCAACCCCACCTGGCCTGGAGGTCAACCCTCCTCCAACCCCACCTGGCCTGGAGGTCAACCTGGAGGTCAACCTGGAGGTGCCTGGCCCTCCCCACAGCCCACTGCACCTGGAGGATGGCCCAGTCCTTCGCCTGGACCTGGACCTGGACCTGGACCTGGACCTGGACCTGCCATCCCTGTTGCCCCACAACAGAGTCTGGTAAGACAGAGAGAGACAGAGAGAGAGAGAGATGGATAGTCGATGGATGGGTGACGAACTAATGATGGATGGAGTTAATGGTTGTTTCCTTGTTGGCAGGTGGTTCCGTACAGACAGAGTCTTCCCAGTGGAGTTTATGACAAACTGCTCATCACCATCGCTGGAACCATCAAACCCAACGCTGACAAGTCAGTATGAACACTTCATTAGAAACAAAGGAGGGATGGAGGGATGGAAGGATTCAGCAGTGATGTCTGTTGTTGTTCAGGTTCACGGTGGATCTGGGCACATCCAATGACCTGGCCTTCCACTTCAATCCTCGCTTCAACGAGAGCGGCAAGAAGGTGATCGTCAGGAACAGCCGCATTGGCGACAAGTGGGGGAAAGAGGAGAGAGACCTGCAGCGCTTCCCCTTCGTCCAGGGACAGCCATTCGAGGTCAGATATTCCTTCTATACCTCTATCAAACTGTAAGACTTTATGTTGGTCTTCTGATGGCGAAGCTCAGGTGTTGGATTGTCCCTGAATGCACCATAAAGTGTAGTTTGAGGACCAGTCTGTGAGTTTGCGTTTTTGTGGTTACAGATAAAGATCCTCTGCTCCCAGAGAGAGTTTAAGGTCGCCGTCAACAACGCTCACCTGCTGTCGTTTCAACACAGAATCACCAACCTGAGAGCAATCGACAAACTCAACATCTATTATGACATCAATCTGTCCAGGGTCCACACGGAGACTCTGCCCTGAGGCAGGTCACCAGATCCACTACAGATCTACTGGGGATCCACAGGAGATCTATCGGGGATCCACCAGAGCTCTACTGGGGATCCACCAGAGATCTACCAGGGATCCACACGAGATCTACTGGGGATCCACCAGAGATCTACCGGGATCAACCGGAGATCTACCGGGGATCCAAAAGAGATCTACTGGGGATCCACCGGAGATCTACTGGGGAGCCACCGGAGATCTACCGGGGACCCACCAGAGATCTACCGGGGATCTTCAGTAGATGATTCTTGGTCAAGTTAGCATAAGATGTTGTCAGTGGATCCTCTTACTGTTCTTAAGTTTGACTCGTATAAATAAAGGCTTAATACCATCTGATTGTGTGTTTGTATTTGTGCAGCAGGACAGTACCCAACCCTGACCTCTGACCTCTGCTGGTACCATCAGTGCTGTACCAATTCCCATTGTGGGATCCAGTGTTAGCTTTCATTATATAATAAATCATCATCATCACACTCCGGTAAACCTGCTGCCTACATTACCCACAATGCAATTAGGTGGCCCGCAGTTGGGCTGGAGATTCTGGTGTGTTATGCTATTAGCAGCTAACGGAGTCTGGAGCCTTCAAAAAATTTTTTATGATGTGTGAAGAAGGAGGAAAAAATTCAAAAAATTGTTTGTTTTTTTTTTTTTTTTTTTAAAGAAAAAAGAAAAAAAACGTACTGACTCACTTCCGGTTTCCTTCCTGCTCTGTGTACACTGTTTGGTGCTGTAGCTCTGTCAGTGAACGCTAAATATAAATTAGTTTTACTCGTTACAGCGGTTATTTACCCGCTTAACATTTAAACGTAGACTAGTTCTACTTAAACACTCGGAGTTTCTCCCTCTTTTAGGGACTTTTCACTACTTTCAAAGTTTTTCATACACTCTAGTTTCATTAGCATTAGCAGTTAGCTATGGCTTCTCCCTCTCCCTCTCCTCTGTCCTGCTCAGTGTGTCAGATGTTCAGTTATTCCTCTGCCTCCTTTAAAGATAATGGTACCTGTATTAAATGTAGTTTATTTACTGCGCTGGAGGCGAGGCTTAGTGAGTTAGAGGAACGGTACCGCACCACGGAGATATCTTTAGCCGCTATAGTTAGCCAGCCCCCGGTAGCCGGTGCGGTCCGACCAAAGGTAGCTTCTGCTAGATCTGTAGTTCCCCCGGTAGTTCCCGAGCAGCCGGGAAGACAGGGAGGCTGGGTGACTGAGCGAAGGAAGACTAGAACGGCGAAGCCCACAGGTCACCACCAACCGCTTCACGTTTCTAATACATTTTCCCCACTCAGCGATACACCCGCTGAGGAACCAACTCTGGTTATTGGCAGCTCCATAGTCAGAAACGTGAAGTTAGCGAAGCCAGCGGCCATAGTTAAATGTATCCCTGGGGCCAGAGCGGGCGACATTGAATCAAATTTAAAACTGCTGGCTAAAGATAAACGTAAATACAGTAAGATTGTTATCCACGTCGGCGGTAACGATACCCGTTACGCCAATCGGAGGTCACTAAGATTAATGTGGAGTCGGTGTGTAACTATGCTAAGACAATGTCGGACACCGTAGTTTTCTCTGGACCCCTCCCCAATGTGACCAGTGATGACATGTATAGCCGCATGTCGTCATTCCACCGCTGGCTGTCGAGGTGGTGTCCAGCAAACGATGTGGGCTTCATTGATAACTGGAAGCCTTTTGGGGAAAACCTGGTCTGATTAGGAGAGACGGCATCCATCCCACTTTGGATGGAGCGGCTCTCTTATCTAGAAATATGGCGAAGTTTATCTCTAAAACCTGACAGTCCAGAGTTAGGACCAGGAAGCAGAGCTGCTGTCTTACACACTTCTCTGCTCTTTCTTTAGAACAGTCACCCACCCAAAACCCCATAGAGACTGTGTCTGTCCCCCGACCACCTAAATTATTTAAAGAAATAAAAACAAGAGGAGTTCAACATAAAAACCTAATAAAAATTAAAACCAACTCCTCAGTAGCACAAAATAAGAGAATGAAATGTGGGCTGTTAAATATCAGGTCTCTGTCCTCTAAAGCTGTTTTAGTGAATGAATTAATATCAGATTATGATATTGATTTACTTTGTCTTACTGAGACCTGGTTGTCCCACGAGGAGTATGTTTGCCTAAATGAATCCACCCCCCAGTCATATTAATACTCACATTCCTCGAGGCACAGGCCGAGGAGGTGGAGTAGCAGCTATATATGATTCGAGCGTTTTAATGGACCCTAAACCTAAACTAAATTATAATTCATTTGAAAGCCTTGTTCTTAGCCTTTCTCACCCAAACTGGAAAACACTGCAGCCAGTTCTATTTGTTATAGTGTACCGTGCTCCTGGACCGTACTCTGACTTTATATCTGAATTTTCAGAGTTTCTATCAAGCTTAGTCCTTAAATCAGATAAAGTAATTATTGTAGGTGATTTTAATATTCATGTGGATGTTGACAATGACAGCCTTAGTAATGCATTTATATCATTAATAGACTCAATTGGCTTCTGTCAGAGTGTAAATAAACCAACTCATTGTTTTAATCACACTCTTGACCTTGTTTTATCATATGGCATTGATATTGAACATTTAATAGTCTTCCCACATAATCCTTTCCTATCTGACCATTATTTAGTAACTTTTGAATTCATACTATTAGATTATAAGCCATTATAACCATAACCATCCCTTAGTTATGCTGCTATAGGCCTAGACTATCGGGGGATTTCCCATGGTGCACTGAGCTACTCTCTTCCTCTCTCTTTCTGCACTCATTCATGTCCCTTTAATGCATGTTACTAACTCCACTTCTTCCCCGGAGTTCTTGTGCTTTCTCGTCTCGCAGGTTCTCATGGATCCTGGTGGAGCCTCCTGCCATGGTCCTGCTTGACTGCCATTGCCAATACTGTTGTTGCTGTGCACCTGTCTGTCTGTCTGTCGCTCTCTCTCTCTCTCTCTCTCTCTCTCTCTCTCTCTCTCACCCCAACTGGTCGAGACAGACGACCACCCACCTAGAGCCGGAGGATCTGTCCTAGGTTTCTGCCTTTTAACAGGCAGTTTTTCCTTGCCCTTGTCGCCAAGTGCTTGCTCATGGTGGTACTGTTGGGTCTCTGTAATTAATGTTAAAGAGTTCGGTCTAGACCTGCTCTATTTGAAAAGTGTCCTGAGATAACTTCTGTTATGAATTGGCGCTATACAAATAAAATTGAATTGAATTGAATTGAATTAGGCAAAACTCCTACAGCAGATGTCTATCTGACAGTGCTGTAGCTAAATTTAAGGAGGAGATTCCTTCAGTGTTTAATTCAATGCCATGTCTGAATTTAACAGAGTCCTATAACAACTTTAGTCCCTCTGAAATTGATAATCTTGTCGATAGTGCTACAGGCTCACTACGATCAACATTAGACTCTATCGCTCCTATAAAAGGAAATTATTAAAACATAGGAGACTAGCACCTTGGTATAACCACCAAACCCGCCAGTTAAAGCAAATAGCTAGGAAATCTGAAAGGAAATGGCGCTCTTCCAAATTATCAGAATATCGCTCAAATTGGCAAGATGATCTTAAGATTTATAGAAAGGCCCTCCGTAATGCCAGAGGAGCCTATTACTCAGCACTAATAGAAGAAAATAAGAACAACCCTAGGTTCCTCTTCAGCACTGTAGCCAGGCTGACAGAGAGTCACAGCTCTATCGAGCCACATATCCCCATAAACTTAAGTAGCAATGACTTCATGAGCTTCTTCTATAATAAAATTATTACTATTAGAGAAAAAATTAATCACCAACTGCCATCAACGGTTATCAGTGGCTCTCCAAGTTCAGGGACTTCTGTCAATGTAAACTTAGATATATATTTAGACTGTTTTTCTGCTATCGATCTTCATCAGTTAACTTCAACCATTTCTTCATCGAAGCCATCAACCTGTCTGTTCCGATCCCAACTAGGCTGCTTAAAGAAGTTGTTCCCTTAATTGGCACTTCTTTACTGGATATGATTAATCTTTCTTTATTATCAGGATATGTACCACAGTCCTTTAAAGTAGCTGTAATTAAACCCCTTCTTAAAAAGTCTACTCTTGACCCAGGGGTTTTAGCCAACTATAGACCGATTTCTAACCTCCCGTTCCTCTCTAAGATTCTGGAGAAAGTAGTCGCCAAAGAGTTGTGTGACTTTCTACATAACAATAGTTTATTTGAGGATTTTCAGTCAGGATTTAGAGTTCATCATAGCACAGAGACAGCTCTGGTTAAAGTTAATAATGACCTTCTGACTGCTTCTGACAATGGACTTGTCTCTGTACTTGTATTATTAGATCTTAGTGCTGCATTTGACACCATTGACCATGATATTCTTTTACAGAGACTTGAGCATCAAATTGGCATTAAAGGAACTGCCCTAACCTGGTTTAAGTCATACTTATCAGATCGTTCTCAGTTTGTACATGTTAACGATGAATCCTCCATAAATACTAAAGTTAGTCATGGAGTTCCACAAGGTTCTGTACTTGGACCAATACTATTTACTTTATATATGCTCCCTTTAGGCAACATTATTAGGAATCACTCCATTAACTTTCACTGTTATGCAGATGATACGCAGTTATATCTATCAATCAAACCCAATGAAATTAATCAATTATCTAAATTACAAACATGTCTTAAGGACATAAAATCCTGGATGACCTGCAATTTTCTGATGTTAAACTCAGAAAAAACCGAAATTCTTGTTCTTGGCCCCAAAAACCTTAGAGACTCACTGTCTAAAGATATAGTTACTCTAGATGGCATTAACTTGGCCTCTAGCACCACTGTCAGGAATCTTGGAGTTATCTTTGATCAGGATTTGTCATTTAACTCCCACATAAAGCAGACCTCTAGGACTGCCTTCTTTCATTTACGTAATATTAGAAAAATTAGACACATACTATCACAGACAGATGCAGAAAAACTAATCCATGCATTTGTTACTTCAAGGCTGGATTACTGCAACTCTTTATTATCAGGTTGCCCCAATAAGTCCATTAAAACGCTCCAATTAATTCAGAACGCTGCAGCACGAGTACTGACAGGAACTAGAAAAAGAGATCACATCTCTCCTGTACTAGCTACTCTGCATTGGCTCCCTATAAAATGTAGAATTGAATTTAAAATACTCCTCCTCACCTATAAAGCTCTTCATGGTCAGGCCCTTCATATCTTAAAGAGCTCATAGTACCCTATTACCCCACTAGAACACTACGTTCTCTGAATGCTGGGCTACTTGTGGTTCCTATAGTCTCTAAAAGTAGAACAGGAGCCAGAGCCTTCAGTTACCAAGCTCCTCTCCTGTGGAACCAGCTTCCAGTTGTGGTTCGGGAGGCAGACACCCTCACCACATTCAAGAGTAGGCTTAAGACATTCCTCTTTGATAAAGCTTATAGTTAGGGCTGGATCAGGTGAGTCCTGAACCATCCCTTAGTTATGCTGCTATAGGCCTAGACTATCGGGGATTTCCCATGGTGCACTGAGCTACTCTCTTCCTCTCTCTTTCTGCACTCATTCATGTCCCTTTAATGCATGTTACTAACTCCACTTCTTCCCCGGAGTTCTTGTGCTTTCTCGTCTCGCAGGTTCTCATGGATCCTGGTGGAGCCTCCTGCCATGGTCCTGCTTGACTGCCATTGCCAATACTGTTGTTGCTGTGCACCTGTCTGTCTGTCTGTCGCTCTCTCTCTCTCTCTCTCTCTCTCTCTCTCTCTCACCCCAACTGGTCGAGACAGACGACCACCCACCTAGAGCCGGAGGATCTGTCCTAGGTTTCTGCCTTTTAACAGGCAGTTTTTCCTTGCCCTTGTCGCCAAGTGCTTGCTCATGGTGGTACTGTTGGGTCTCTGTAATTAATGTTAAAGAGTTCGGTCTAGACCTGCTCTATTTGAAAAGTGTCCTGAGATAACTTCTGTTATGAATTGGCGCTATACAAATAAAATTGAATTGAATTGAATTGCAGCAGGAAACAGCAGGGGCTGGCTCAAATAGTGGCATCGGCAGCTCGCAGTGGCATTTCCGGTGGCAGGTTGAGATGCCAACGATTTTTCCTGAAATGCCACGGCATCTTTCGCCGTTTATATGGTATTTCCGGTGGCATTCTAGGATGCAGCGGCAACTGCTGCTGTATGTGTGGGTTGCCCCGGTTCACCGTAAGATGCCACGGCATCTTTCGCCGTTATGGGGTATAACGGTGGCAAACAAGGGTTGTGTCCGAAATCACCCACTACTCATACAGGCCTACTAGCAAACCACACACAACCAAACCAGTAGCCTGTCGTACTGTAGAGAAAAGAGGATATCCGACTGCAACTGCAGGTGTTTGTAGCATCTGCTAGTGAGATACCGACATTTAAAGTTTATAAATGTTAACACTTGGCAATATTAGACTTGGTAGCATTTTCATGACCCTATTTGTGCATTTTTTCAAGGTTTCTTTGATTATTACAATATTTGATTTATATTGGTCTGTTATGTTACCAATACTATTTACTTTATATATGCTCCCTTTAGGCAACATTATTAGGAATCACTCCATTAACTTTCACTGTTATGCAGATGATACGAGTTATATCTATCAATCAAGCCCAATAAAATTAATCAATTATCTAAATTACAAACATGTCTTAAGGACATAAAATCCTGGATGACCTGCAATTTTCTGATGTTAAACTCAGAAAAAACTAAATTCTTGTTCTTGGCCCTAAAAACCTTAGAGACTCACTGTCTAAAGATATAGTCACTCTAGATGGCATTACCTTGGCCTCTAGCACCACTGTCAGGAATCTTGGAGTTATCTTTGATCAGATTTGTCATTTAACTCCCACATAAAGCAGACCTCTAGGACTGCCTTCTTTCATTTACGTAATATTACAAAAATTAGACACATACTATCACAGACAGATGCAGAAAAACTAATCCATGCATTTGTTACTTCAAGGCTGGATTACTGCAACTCTTTATTATCAGGTTGCCCCAATAAGTCCATTAAAACGCTCCAATTAATTCAGAACGCTGCAGACGTACTGACAGGAACTAGAAAAGAGATCACATCTCTCCTGTACTAGCTTCTCTGCACTGGCTCCCTGTAAAATGTAGAATTGAATTTAAAATCCTCCTCCTCACCTATAAAGCTCTTCTGGTCAGGCCCCTTCATATCTTAAAGAGCTCATAGTACCTATTACCCCACTAGAACACTGCGTTCTCTGAATGCTGGGCTACTTGTGGTTCCTATAGTCTCTAAAAGTAGAACAGGAGCCAGAGCCTTCAGTTACCAAGCTCCTCTCCTGTGGAACCAGCTTCCAGTTGTGGTTCGGGAGGCAGACACCCTCACCACATTCAAGAGTAGCTTAAGACATTCCTCTTTGATAAAGCGTATAGTTAGGGCTGGATCAGGTGAGTCCTGAACCATCCCTTAGTTATGCTGCTATAGGCCTAGACTATCGGGGATTTCCCATGGTGCACTGAGCTACTCTCTTCCTCTCTCTTTCTGCACTCATTCATGTCCCTTTAATGCATGTTACTAACTCCACTTCTTCCCCGGAGTTCTTGTGCTTCTGTCTCGCAGGTTCTCATGGATCCTGGTGGGCCTCCTGCCATGGTCCTGCTTGACTGCCATTGCCAATACTGTTGTTGCTGTGCACCTGTCTGTCTGTCTGTCTGTCCTCTCTCTCTCTCTCTCTCTCTCTCTCTCTCTCTCTCACCCCAACTGGTCGAGACAGACGACCACCCACCTAGAGCCGGAGGATCTGTCCTAGGTTTCTGCCTTTTAACAGGCAGTTTTTCCTTGCCCTTGTCGCCAAGTGCTTGCTCATGGTGGTACTGTTGGGTCTCTGTAATTAATGTTAAAGAGTTCGGTCTAGACCTGCTCTATTTGAAAAGTGTCCTGAGATAACTTCTGTTATGAATTGGCGCTATAAAAAAAAAATTAAATTAAATTAAATTGCAGCAGGAAACAGCAGGGGCTGGCTCAAATAGTGGCATCGGCAGCTCGCAGTGGCATTTCCGGTGGCAGGTTGAGATGCCAACGATTTTTCCTGAAATGCCACGGCATCTTTCGCCGTTTATATGGTATTTCCGGTGGCATTCTAGGATGCAGCGGCAACTGCTGCTGTATGTGTGGGTTGCCCCCGGTTCACCGTAAGATGCCACGGCATCTTTCGCCGTTTATGGGGTATAACGGTGGCAAACAAGGGTTGTGTCCGAAATCACCCACTACTCATACAGGCCTACTAGCAAACCACACACAACCAAACCAGTAGCCTGTCGTACTGTAGAGAAAAGAGGATATCCGACTGCAACTGCAGGTGTTTGTAGCATCTGCTAGTGAGATACCGACATTTAAAATTTATAAATGTTAACACTTGGCAATATTAGACTTGGTAGCATTTTCATGACCCTATTTGTGCATTTTTTTTCAAGGTTTCTTTGATTATTACAATATTTGATTTATATTGGTCTGTTATGTTACCAATACTATTTACTTTATATATGCTCCCTTTAGGCAACATTATTAGGAATCACTCCATTAACTTTCACTGTTATGCAGATGATACGCAGTTATATCTATCAATCAAGCCCAATAAAATTAATCAATTATCTAAATTACAAACATGTCTTAAGGACATAAAATCCTGGATGACCTGCAATTTTCTGATGTTAAACTCAGAAAAAAACGAAATTCTTGTTCTTGGCCCTAAAAACCTTAGAGACTCACTGTCTAAAGATATAGTCACTCTAGATGGCATTACCTTGGCCTCTAGCACCACTGTCAGGAATCTTGGAGTTATCTTTGATCAGGATTTGTCATTTAACTCCCACATAAAGCAGACCTCTAGGACTGCCTTCTTTCATTTACGTAATATTACAAAAATTAGACACATACTATCACAGACAGATGCAGAAAAACTAATCCATGCATTTGTTACTTCAAGGCTGGATTACTGCAACTCTTTATTATCAGGTTGCCCCAATAAGTCCATTAAAACGCTCCAATTAATTCAGAACGCTGCAGCACGAGTACTGACAGGAACTAGAAAAAGAGATCACATCTCTCCTGTACTAGCTTCTCTGCACTGGCTCCCTGTAAAATGTAGAATTGAATTTAAAATCCTCCTCCTCACCTATAAAGCTCTTCATGGTCAGGCCCCTTCATATCTTAAAGAGCTCATAGTACCCTATTACCCCACTAGAACACTGCGTTCTCTGAATGCTGGGCTACTTGTGGTTCCTATAGTCTCTAAAAGTAGAACAGGAGCCAGAGCCTTCAGTTACCAAGCTCCTCTCCTGTGGAACCAGCTTCCAGTCGTGGTTCTGGAGGCAGACACCCTCACCACATTCAAGAGTAGGCTTAAGACATTCCTCTTTGATAAAGCTTATAGTTAGGGCTGGATCAGGTGAGTCCTGAACCATCCCTTAGTTATGCTGCTATAGGCCTAGACCATGCATCACCAAATGGCGGACCTCGGTCCGGATCCGGACCGAGTGATGGTTCTGACCGGACTCATGACCAATCTCTGATAAATTCACAAGAATAGAAATTTTCCATGGAGCATTTTTCTGACGGTCGCGGGCGCTGCTACTCCAGTTAATACGGCAATAGCGTCACTCAGCTGAGCCAATCAAACCCTTTGTTTACCCTGCACGGCCAGCGCACCTGAGCAGAGAGAAAGAGACAGTGCTGAGAGCATGGCTTGCTCAAAGCCATTCAGTTTTTTTAGGCTGGGACCTCTCTAATTTAAGAAAAAAAAGAAAGATGTTTAGTCAATGCTCTGTTTGCACTTGATTTGTTCCTAAAGGAGACACTTTTATGACTTTTTTTATTTGAAGTGTAGGCCTTCAGTTCTTTAGGCTGGGACCTCTTTAATTTAAAAGAAAGGGGGTTATTAGGCTCTGTTTGCACTTAATTTATTTCATTCTGAGGTTTCTGTTTTCTTTAATCTGAAATAAAGGCCTTAAATTTATTTGACTGGGGATGCTTTTTTATGGTAAAAGTGCTGGCTGTTTACTATATAAGTGCACTCTGTTAAAAGTGACAATAAATATTATCGAAACCATATGAAAATGTGAACATAGGGTAGCCACAATAACAACACACAAGCTGGACTTCGGTTCGGACCTTTTATTTGGAGGAAATTTTAGTAGTGGACCTCAGTGACTTTTAATTGAATACCCCTGGCCTAGACTATCGGGGGATTTCCCATGGTGCACTGAGCTCCTCCCTTCCTCTCTCTTTCTGCACTCATTCATGTCCCATTAATGCATGTTACTAACTTCACTTCTTCCCCGGAGTTCTTGTGCTTTCTCGTCTCGCAGGTTCTTGTCGATCCTGGTGGAGCCTCCTGCCATGGTTCTGCTAAATTGCCATTGCCAATACTGTTGTTGCTGTGCACCTGTCTGTCTGTCTGTCTGTCTCTCGCTCTCTCTCTCTCTCACCCCAACTTGTCGAGACAGACGACCACCCACCTAGAGCCGGAGGATCTGTCCTAGGTTTCTGCCTTTTAACAGGCAGTTTTTCCTTGCCCTTGTCTCCAAGGTCTTGCTCATGGTGGTACTGTTGGGTCTCTGTAATTAATGTTATAAAGAGTTCGGTCTAGACCTGCTCTATTTGAAAAGTGTCCTGAGATAACTTCTGTTATGAATTGGCGCTATACAAATAAAATTGAATTGAATTGAATTGAATATAGGAACCACAAGTAGCCCAGCATTCAGAGAACGTAGTGTTCTAGTGGGGTAATAGGGTACTATGAGCTCTTTAAGATATGAAGGGGCCTGACCATGAAGAGCTTTATAGGTGAGGAGGAGGATTTTAAATTCTATTCTACATTTTACAGGGAGCCAATGCAGAGAAGCTAGTACAGGAGAGATGTGATCTCTTTTTCTAGTTCCTGTCAGTACTCGTGCTGCAGCGTTCTGAATTAATTGGAGCGTTTTAATGGACTTATTGGGGCAACCTGATAATAAAGAGTTGCAGTAATCCAGCCCTGAAGTAACAAATGCATGGATTAGTTTTTCTGCATCTGTCTGTGATAGTATGTGTCTAATATATACCATATATACACTTATTTATATCTTTATACCACGTGTATGGTTTTATCTTAATGTTTTATCATTTCTAACTTGTTTTTATTTCCTGTATCATATTTTATGTATGTGCCATATAAACAAAGTTTGTTGTTTCCATGTCAGTCCATTGGTGTTAAACCAATCAAAAAATATAAAAGGAAATACAAAATAAAACGGCAAAGGGCAATAAATAAATAAATAAATAATATGCAGATTAAATTGTAGTTTTAACATTCCAATCTGATCCAATAATTCCACTGCGCACTTACTTACGCGCACTCTTTTTTTATATAGACGATCTTTGGCAGACTCCGCTACGTCATGACGCAGCCTCTCCAGCTGTGCGTCAGCCCGCTGGGAGCAGACAGACAGGTTCACAGCGGCGTTAACCGACATTTTAAACAACATCTTATTCACAGCTAACGGAAGGAACCCGAAGAACAGACCGACACATTAACGGGAACAACCGACAGTGTTTCACATTAACGGGAACAACCGGGAAAACAGGAACGGAGTGTTTGTGGTCGCTGCCAGCAGCTGTTTGTCCGAGACGGAGAGGGTTCCTCCCGCAGGTGAGTCTGAGCGTCGGCCTCTGTTAGCTCCTGATGCTAACGGTCCCATAAACACTGTTAGCTCCTGATGCTAACGGTCCCATATACACTGTTAGCTCCTGATGCTAACGGTCCCATATACACTGTTAGCTCCTGATGCTAACGGTCCCATAGACTCTGTTAGCTCCTGATGCTAACGGTCCCATAAACACTGTTAGCTCCTGATGCTAACGGTCCCATAAACAGTACTTGCTAACGGTCTCACTGTTAGCTCCTGATGCTAACGGTCCCATAAACACCGTTAGCTCCTGATGCTAACGGTCCCATAAACACCTGTTAGCTCCTGATGCTAACGGTCCCATATACACTGTTAGCTCCTGATGCTAACGGTCCCATAGACTCTGTTTAGGTCCCTACCTGTTAGCTCCTGATGCTAACGGTCCCATAAACACTGTTAGCTCCTGATGCTAACGGTCCCATAAACACTGTTAGCTCCTGATGCTAACGGTCCCATAAACACTGTTAGCTCCTGATGCTAACGGTCCCATAGACTCTGTTAGCTCCTGATGCTAACGGTCCCATATACACTGTTAGCTCCTGATGCTAACGGTCCCATATACACTGTTAGCTCCTGATGCTAACGGTCCCATAAACACTGTTAGCTCCTGATGCTAACGGTCCCATAGACTCTGTTAGCTCCTGATGCTAACGGTCCCATAGACACTGTTAGCTCCTGATGCTAACGGTCCCATAGACTCTGTTAGCTCCTGATGCTAACGGTCCCATATACACTGTTAGCTCCTGATGCTAACGGTCCCATATACACTGTTAGCTCCTGATGCTAGGTCCCATAAACACTGTTACCTGATGCTAACGGTCCCATATACACTGTTAGCTCCTGATGCTAACGGTCCCATATACACTGTTAGCTCCTGATGCTAACGGTCCCATATACACTGTTAGCTCCTGATGCTAACGGTCCCATATACACTGTTAGCTCCTGATGCTAACGGTCCCATAGACTCTGTTAGCTCCTGATGCTAACGGTCCCATATACACTGTTAGCTCCTGATGCTAACGGTCCCATATACACTGTTAGCTCCTGATGCTAACGGTCCCATAAACACTGTTAGCTCCTGATGCTAACGGTCCCATATACACTGTTAGCTCCTGATGCTAACGGTGTTTATCTGTATGTATTATTGAGAACAGTATGGATAATAATATTGATAATAGTATTGATAACAATATTGATAACAATATTGATAATAGTATTGATAACAGTATTGATAATAATATTGATAATAGTATTGATAATAATATTGATAACAATATTGATAACAATATTGATAACAGTATTGATAACGGTATGGATAACAATATTGATAATAGTATTGATAACAGTCCATTGATAACAATATTGATAATAGTATTGATAACAGTATTGATAATAATATTGATAATAGTATTGATAACAGTATTGATAATAGTATTGATAACAGTATGGATAATAATATTGATAATATATTGATAATAGTATTGATAACAATATTGATAACAATATTGATAATAGTATTGATAACAATATTGATAACAATATTGATAATAGTATTGATAATAGTATTGATAACAATATTGATAACAGTATTGATAACAGTATGGATAACAATATTGATAATAGTATTGATAACAATATTGATAACAATATTGATAATAGTATTGATAACAGTATTGATAATAGTATTGATAACAGTATGGATAACAATATTGATAACAGTATTGATAACAATATTGATAATAGTATTGATAACAGTATTGATAACAATATTGATAACAATATTGATAATAGTATTGATAACAGTATTGATAATAGTATTGATAACAGTATTGATAATAATATTGATAATAGTATTGATAACAGTATTGATAATAATATTGATAATAGTATTGATAACAGTATTGATAATAATATTGATAATAGTATTGATAACAGTATTGATAATAATATTGATAACAGTATTGATAACAGTATTGATAACAGTATGGATAATGCAGTAAGGGCTGTTGGATTAATATTATAATGTGTATTGCACTGCTGCTTCTTCTTCTGTGGTGGCTGTTATATGTCTTATTAATGTGTGTGTGTGTGTGTGTGTGTGTTTTCCTGCAGTGTGTGTTACGTCCTGAGGGGGTGGAGCCAGCAGACAGTGTTTGGTTCAGTTTCCTGTGTAGGAGGAGTCACAGTGAACGTCTCAGAGATGTGAAGCTGAAGGTTCAGAGGAGCTGTCAATCAAATCAGGACCGATTTTGGTGACATCACACCCTCATTGGAACGCCCACTTGGAGGTAAAACGAGTTTTCATACCGCTAACAGCAGTGACTGTGCACACAGACCTGGTTCCTCTCATTGGCTTTGTGTTGCAGCGGCGTGTTGAGTGTGGTTGTGTCCGATCTCCACCGCTGCGATGCTGCTGCGGCTCACAGCTTACTTACTATACTTACTGCTTACTATACTAGCAAGATACTGAACCCCAAATTCCTTCTGATGCATCACTGAGTCAATGTGTGTGAAAGGGTGAATGTGTCTGTAGTGTAAAAGCACTTTGAGTGGTCGGAAGACTAGAAAGGAAACTATACAAGAACAGGTCCATTTACTATTTATCTTTTAACCATCTTCCAACTGTGGTTGTTTTTCCAACATAGATTATCTTAGCAAGTAGCATATCGAAGTACAGGAAAAGAGGAAGTTGTCTAACGTTCTGACTGAAGCTTGCTCAACTGTGATTGGAGTACAAAGCAAAAAGGGGCGCTTAGGAAGGGTACAATGTGAAACTAGTATGGCACTGGACCTCATAATAACTATAATTCTACATACAAATATTTATAATGTCACAGAAAGAGTTAGAGTTGTTATGTGGACCATGATTCAGAACCCTCACTTCTCATCACTCCCTCAAATGTTGAAAATGTTCTCAGACTCTGTCGCTGTTTGAACTGTAGGATGAAAAAACTACAAAGTGAGTCATCACTGTTACACAACCTCTTGTCATTCATCAATATAGACAGTCATCAGTGAGCCAATAAGCACACAGCAGGATGTGAAACGTTTAGGGGTGGGAATCTTTTGGCACCTCACGATTTGATTACGATTCAGAGGTCAACAATTCGATTCTAAACTGATTATCGATGCATCTCGATGCAACAATTTTTTAATGTACATTTTCACGCGTGATTTTACAATATAATATATATATATATATAAAATAAAAATATATAAAAAAAAAAAAAAAAAAAAAAAATATATATATATATATATATATATATACATCTGACTTTGCTACTCAGAGTTTGCTAATCACTTCCTACTACTTTTGTGATATTCATTAAAGACAATCAACAGATGAATTACCTTCTCTATATTGTATTAGAGAAAAAGCTTTTCTTGTCACAAATATGACTTTCTATGAACAATGCAGCTTGAATTTTAACACAATATAGAAGTATGTTAAAAAAAAAACACGATTCATTTTTCTTATTTTTCCAAACTATCTAATTTGACTTCTACACACCTTACACACAGTGTAGGTCTTGTCCATCTTCCCATCGACCTCATAGAACCCAAAATGCTTCCATATCGCAGCTTTTAAAGAAGCTGGTGCAGGCCATATAGGTCTGTCGCTCGCAGCCATTTTGTCGCCACTAAACTTTGGATGTAAACAACTCGCACGTTTTTGGTGCGCATTCGTGTTGGCGGAGAACCGGCAGACAGAAAGGAGAGTTTTCTGTTGCTCTCTGCAGCAGGCAAACTAATTTAATTTTTGAAATTCCGATTATTAACTTATCTGCATCGAGACGGAATCGTTCTAGAGAGAAGAGAGAGTTTACACTCACCACAACACGTGGATCATAGAATATACATAGAAAATAGACTATACATAGAATATAGACTATAGATAGAATATAAACTATATGAATATTTAATATATATTAGTGCTGTCAAATGATTAAAATATTTAATCGCGATTAATCGAATTGTCATAGTTAACTTGCAATTAATCGCACATTTTTATCTATTCTAAATGTCCCTTGATTTCTTTTTGTCCCATTATGTTTTTCTCATTTTAATGCTCTTATCAATATGGAAAAGTGGATCGGCTTGCTTTGTGCAAATGTTGTTTTTATTGAAAAATCATCCATTGTCGCCTGGCTTTGACGAGGGGGCGGAGAATTCGCATCAGCTGTGTGTTTGGCCATCAAGTGGTATTTCAGACTGGACGTGCTGCGATGATAGCTCAGTTCACAACCACAGAACACACAGATCACTTTGGTCTTGTCAATGGAACCATTTGGCAACTTTTTAAAAGTAAACTTTCCATTCAGAATATTATTGGCATCCATTTCGGCGTCTCGCACTCGCCATCCACTCAAAACGTAACGTCTACTACTCTTAAACAAGTGTGTGCGGCGTGTCTGTTGTTTTGTTTCCGGTCTAGCTAGATCTGGTGTGGTGTTTTTTCTAACGTTACTAGTTGTTGCAACAGCATGTGAAAAAACTACAAAGTTTGCTAGGTCAAAAAGAACGTTATCTTGTGATAAAAAAATTGACGCCGTTAAAATGTGTTTGCGTTAACGCCGTTAATAACACGTTTAACTGACAGCACTAATATATATATATATATATGAATACACTATAGGTAGATATGTACAGTATAGACTGAGGCAAGTGAATACATTATAGATGTATACAGTAGGACAGTATAATTATGTATTAGGCTGTGGGGGCTTAAATGGTCCAGCGAATTGTGCAGTAGTGTGGCGGTATAGTGGAGAATATGGGAAGATAGTTCATAAGTTCGTAAATAATGTTATAAGGAGTTCGGTCTAGACCTGCTCTATTTGAAAAGTGTCCTGAGATAACTTCTGTTATGAATTGGTGCTATATAGGGATGGGGCCGATCCGATCCAGTATCGGTATCGGGACCGATACGAGCGTAATTCTCATATCGGAATTTCCCGATCCAACCTGCGCAGATTTCCGATATCAATGAGCCATGTCTGCGTTAACATTGTCTGCTGAAATGACTCCACAGGTGATTCCTGCCGGCCAGTCTGCTAGCTGGCTGCAAACTGTGGAATGGATGTCCTGAACGGAGGCGCGGCTCAATGAGACACAGAGTTATGAGACACGCCCCCGCTCAGGAAATCCATTCAGCAGTTTGCAGCCAGCTAGCAGGATAGCATTGAGCAGCATTGTGGCTAGCCAACATGTCCGCTGTGTGGAAATACTTTACACTGGAAACACCACAGAGCAAGACAGCAAAATGCAATGTTTGCAAAGCCGTAATTCAGTTCAGAGACGTGGAAGCTGCCTCGCGTCGTACAACACTACGAACGCAATCAAACATTTAAAAAAAGCACCACACGAAACAGCACGAGGATTTTTTAGGCGAGCTGTCAGGAATCACTTCTGGAGTCATTCCAAAAACAAGGTAAACTCCAGGCAGACAACGGGAAAGCTAAAGGGATTACCGTGTGTGTGTGTGTGTGTGTGCGCGCGTTAATAATAATAATAAACAAATAATAATAATAATATTAAAGCAAACAGAGCTCTGGTATCGGCCAATATCCAAATTCAGGTATCGGGATCGGATCGGAAGTGAAAAAATGTGGATCGGTGCATCCCTAGTGCTATACAAATAAAATTGAATTGAATTATAATTTGTAGGGCTGCAGCTATCGAATATTTTGGTAATGGAGTATTCTATTGAATATTCCATCGATTCATCGAGTAATCGGATAAAACACTTTTGCTTAATTAAAGCCCAATTATAAATATACAATAGAAAACAAGACTGTCCACACACGTTACAGAGCCCGCTTCAGTCTTGTTCCGCGTTGTAGGGGACGCATAGCCTGTGACGTAAGCACGTTGTGTCACACTTAAAAGAATCCGTGCAAAACGTGAGCTGGACGAGGCTTTGAGGCAGACGAAATTCCTCAATCATTCTTTGTAATCGAGTTACTCGCGGTTCTCGAGGAATCGTTGCAGCCCTAATAATTTGATCATTATTATTTAAAAATGTTTTAATTATTCTTTAATTACCGTCTGTGTCTCTGTCTGTCTCTCTGTCTGTCTCTCTTTCTCAGGACCATCATGCACCTGAAGTCGTATCCGAAGCTGGTGCGCTCAGAGTTGCGTTTGGATGCTGTCGGTGTTCAGACGTTTGTGAGCCACCAGGGGGCGCTGTTGAAGACCTGCAGCAGTAACCATGGCAACATCAGCAGCCGCCTGCCACTCAGCGTCCTCTCCACCAACACGCTCCGCTGCAGCAACACCACAAACCACTTCAGCAGCAGCGCAACGTCGCTCCGGCTGAAGGCGTCACCCAGCGGCGCCCTGCAGCTCCTCCCCCCTTTGCCAGGCAACAAGAACAACACGCTCAGACTGTACCAGACTGCCACAGAGGATGCCGATGCCCCGCTGGACATCTGGGCCGTCATCAAGCCCGGACACGTCCGTGAGAAAATCGCCATCTTTGCTTTAGATGGGGGGCGGACCGAAGGCACTGGGGACAGCGAACGCACCTCCACTGCCGGCTCTGGTGGCCGAGAAAGGATGCCGGCGGCGGGTATAAACCACGGCGCCATGACGGGGATGTTACGGGCCGGGAAGGCTAAAGGAAGCTGGGAGGAAAACTGCAATGCCAAACGGCGCCGCAGGTCAGGAATCCAACAGGACACACAGCAACCATCTCCACGGCAACCGGACTCCACTCAGCAGTCGGGCAACGGGTGGCACGGAGACGCGGCAGTGACAGCGGAGGAGGAGGAGGAGGAGGAGCAGAAGGTGTCGGTGGTGGAGATGGTGGCGTTCCTGGAGCACAGAGTCAACGAACAGCAGTCGGACTCCAAACCTCTGGTTGCCCTCCAGAGGAGCTCCACCACCATCACACTGTCCAGAGCTTCACCCCCCGACGCCAGGGGGGAGGAGCCAGAGAGCATCAGGGTGTCAGACATGGTGGCCCGGCTGGAGTCGGAGTGTCTGAGGAGGAGAGCAGAGGGAGATCTGTCAAGGAGCAACAGCCTGAGGAGGACAGTGGAACGAGTCCTGTTCGCCGCCAGAGACCAGAGCCCCGCCTCCTCTTCACCATCGTCAGTGAGTTCATCAAGGATATCATCACCTTCATCGTCACAGCCAGGAACTCAGAGTGCACGAGAACCAATCAGCTGCTCACAAACAGTCTCAGATCTGACCACGCCCCCATCACCTGCCCCAGCCACGCCCCTCCCCTCAGGTGAGGCCGGTCTGGAGACACAGGCCCCGCCCCCTCCGTCTGAGGAGGCGGAGCCTCTGCCCGGCTTGTTGTTTTTGTCTGTGCCTCCTGTTGCCTCAGAGACACTGCTGCACACAGACTCCCTCCCAGAGTCCCGCCCCCCCCGCCACAGAGCGACCTTTGACTTGCAGCCCCCCCCCCCTGCTGCTCGCTCTGACTCTGGCAGTCAGTCAGAGAAGAGGAGGAGGAAGGCTGAGCGTGCTCAGGAGGTGAAGGCTGGCAGTGCTGTGGTGCCGGCGGGCCGGCGTGCGTCTGCGTCGCAGGACTTCCTGTTGATGCGTCAGCGTCTGCAGCAGCTGCTGGAGCCGCAGCCGTTCCTCGCCGTGCTGCCACATCACCTGCTGGTAAAGATCTTCCTGCTGTTGCCCACGCACACACTCGCTGCGCTCAAGTGCACCTGCCACTACTTCAGCTTCATCATCGACAACTACGGCGTACGGCCCGCTGACTCGCTGTGGGTGTCCGACCCCCGTTACCATGACGACCCCTGCAAACAGTGCAAGAAGCGCTACGGCCGCGGCGACGTCTCGCTGTGCCGCTGGCACCACAAGCCGTACTGCCAGGCGCTGCCGTACGGCCCTGGCTACTGGATGTGTTGCCACGGCGCCCACAGGGACGCGCCTGGCTGCAACGTGGGTCTCCACGACAACCGCTGGGTGCCAGCGTTCCACAGCATCAACGCGCCGATCTACAGGAGGAGCCGCCATGATGACCCATGATGCAACAGCAGACTGTCCTTCAGTGCAACATTTGAAATAAGGGAATCAAACATTTTACAGGTCGATCTGACCCGGTGGTTTCCTGCCGGCGGCAGCAGAGGGCGCCCTCTGCTGCTCAAACGCCTCCTCACAGCGAGCTTCCTGACGCTGCTTCACGTCTCGTTGATGACGAGCAGCAGCTGGAAGGAGGAAGTGTCCCAGCCAGGACTTCTTCTTCTGCTGCTGTTCTTGTTTGTCACAGTGTCCCTGATCAATAATCTATAATCAGTGAGCTCAGAGAATGAGTTGTAAAAGAGCAGACTCACTAATTAACACAAGAGCTTATTATTGATCTGTTGATCTGCGATTGCAACAATGAACGCAAATTCAACCAATCACTTCCTGTTTCTTTTATTGATCTTTAATCAATTGTAAAAAATATCAGAACTATTGTTGCAGCTTCAGCAACAGAAAAACATTTGCAGTGAAATCAGGAACTGATGGACTGTATTGATAATGACTGATGAGATATTTATTAATAATCTCTGATCATAAAATAAAGTCAGGAACAAGTGAAGACGTGAGAGGGCGGCTGGTTACCATGGCAATACAAACAATTGGTGGATCATCAGGAAATGATTAGTGATGATTGTTTACATTGAAATGTTTTTGGTCCGGAGAGAGGACTGCGGGGCTTCAGAGGGGGCTCAGTGGAGGAACTTTATCTGCACCTTGTTTGTGTTTACAGGAGAACTGATAATTGTTTGTTTCTCTGTCCAATCAGCTGAGGGATAATCAATGATCAACAGGAAGTGGCCTTGATGCAATATTAAAAAAGAATAAGAGGAGAAAAGAAACAACCTTTGACCTTCAGAGATTTAGTTTTTTAAGGTTTGTTTGTGTTTGCTTTAATAAAGTGCTTTCTCATTGGTTCACTCATTCAGTGTCTTTATTGTTTGTTCACCTGGTGGACAGGTGTTCTTCTCAAACACCCAGTGACGTCACACAGACGCCGTGATGACGTCACGTTGGCGCTGTGACCTCAGATAGCGCCTCCAGCAGCTGGTAGTAGTTGTACTTGATGTCGTACTCCATGTCGTACCAGAAGTTCACTGCAGACACACACAGCAACAGATATTTCAAAATAAAAGCCTAATTGATTAGTATTATTTTGATTTTGATTGATAAAGCTTATAGTTAGGGCTGGATCAGGTGAGTCCTGAACCATCCCTTAGTTATGCTGCTATAGGCCTAGACTATCGGGGGATTTCCCATGGTGCACTGAGCTCCTCTCTTCCTCTCTCTTTCTGCACTCATTCATGTTCCATTAATGCATGTTACTAACTTCACTTCTTCCCCGGAGTTCTTGTGCTTTCTCATCTCGCAGGTTCTCATGGATCCTGGTGGAGCCTCCTGCCATGGTCCTGCTAGACTGCCATTGCCAATACTGTTGTTGCTGTGCACCTGTCTGTCTGTCTGTCTGTCTGTCTGTCTGTCTGTCTGTCTGTCTGTCTGTCTGTCTGTCTCTCTCTCTGTCTGTCTGTCTCTCTCTCTCTCTCTCTCTCTCTCTCTCTCTCTCTCTCTCTCTCTCTCTCTCTCTCTCTCTCTCTCTCTCTCTCTCTCTCTCTCTCTCTCTCACCCCAACTGGTCGAGACAGACGACCACCCACCTAGAGCCGGAGGATCTGTCCTAGGTTTCTGCCTTTTAACAGGCAGTTTTTCCTTGCCCTTGTCTCCAAGGTCTTGCTCATGGTGGTACTGTTGGGTCTCTGTAAATAATGTTATAAAGAGTTCGGTCTAGACCTGCTCTATTTGAAAAGTGTCCTGAGATAACTTCTGTTATGAATTGGCGCTATACAAATAAAATTGAATTGAATTGAAATTGAATTATTTAATGGTGTTTGACGCTAGTTCCTCAGTGATCAGGGTTATGAGTATTAAGTACTTTGTACAGTAATAAGAGACAATGGAGTTTTGGGGCCGTGGTGCATTCAGGTGCAGTGCGTACCTGCGATGCAGCCGTGTGACTGCTGGACGTGGTGGAACCACAGCGACGGCAGGTACAGCATCTCTCCGGCCTTCAGGCTGCAGCGGAGCGGCCGAGCTCTCCGGTACTGCGGGTACAGGTCCAGGTCTGGGTCCAGAGGGTCCAGAGGGATCCATGGGACCTGGTGGGGCATTGTGGGGGGTGGGGGTGAACTGCAGTGCTTTAAATAGAGCAGAAAGTGCTGAGATTTACAGACACCTGAACGCACCTTCTCAGAGTCGCTCTGATCGACAACCTCAAACTCACCGTCTTCCTGCTGTCGGTAAACAGCCGGCTGATATTCACCTGCAGACACACCGTTACTATGGTTACTGTTTCATTTGCTGGCTGGTTGCCATTGTTACTCTTAAAGATCTAAAAGAGGGTGGTTACAAAGGTAATTGTAAAAAGGAATTTCTATGGTTACCATAGGATGATACAGGGTTGTAGCTAGGGTTACTGAAGGATGATACAGGGTTGTTGCTAGGGTTACTGAAGGATGATACAGGGTTGTTGCTAGGGTTACCGTAGGGGATGAAGGGTCTGTCTGTGGGCGGCAGCAGGATGAAGTTTTTCTCTCCAGAAATCACACAGAACAGATTCTCATAGTGATCTTTGTGCACTGAAACATATTATGTACATACACACATATTAATATGGAATATATATAAATATATATTTATATATTAAACTATCTGAGTTGTGTTCAGGTCTTACTGGAAGTGACAGCCCTCGACTCTCCGAGCCAAAAATTCACCGCATCTGGTAACTTTCCTAAAATAAGAAAAAATCATTATTACGTCAAAGAGAAAACAATATTCTTTATTATTATTTATTTATTATTTCTGTTTACCAGATTTAATAAAGAAATCATTTGACCTCGATGAAGATGATGATGATGTAAAAATTACCACTTGCTTCAGTGACGTTAAACAAGATATTAGAAACACTGAACTCAAATAAAAATATGAATAGATTCTGAATTAGATGTGAAAACAGAATAAAACAATCTCTCTGAAAGTCACAAAACAAAGGAGGGACGCAAGGATCCTCTGATCAATCCATCAATCAGTCCATCCTTTCCATCATCGATCAATCAGTCTATCATCAGTATACAGAGAATTGTTTCTTTGCTGATTGATTGGATAGTGGACAACTAATCAATGGATTCTCTGCTTCGCTGAAGAACATTTATTGACAGAAATATGAAATATCCCTGCTGATCAGATTTAACATTGATCAGCTCTACTTCAGTATCATCATCTGGTAAAGTAAGTGTGTGACAGGTGTGCGTTCTGAGCATGCTCAGTAGTGAACTCACCGAGCGCGGCGCTCATCCAGGAAACGTGAGACTCTACGTCGTCTGTGAGCTCCGGGAGTTCGTCCAGGAGGTTGGAGCACTGCTTCTGTACGTAGAATACTCCACGGGCCTCCTCCTGAGTACACAGAGTACACAGAGTATGCGTTTTAATACGCAGTATTAGTACGCAGTAATGTGCAGTATTAGTACGCAGTAATGTGCAGTATTAGTACGCAGTAATGTGCAGTAATGTGCAGTATTAGTACGCAGTAATGTGCAGTATTCGTACGCAGTAATGTGCAGTAATGTGCAGTATTAGTACGCAGTAATGTGCAGTAATGTGCAGTATTAGTACGCAGTAATGTGCAGTATTAGTATGCAGTAATGTGCAGTATTAGTACGCAGTAATGTGCAGTAATGTGCAGTGTTAGTACGCAGTAATGTGCAGTATTAGTATGCAGTAATGTGCAGTATTAGTGCGCAGTAATGTGCAGTAATGTGCAGTGTTAGTACGCAGTAATGTGCAGTATTGTACGCAGTAATGTGCGTAATGTGCAGTATTAGTACGCAGTAATGTGCAGTATTAGTACGCAGTAATGTGCAGTATTAGTACGCAGTAATGTGGTTTTTGCAGTAATGTGCAGTATTAGTACGCAGTAATGTGCAGTAATTGCGTGTTAGTACGCAGTAATGTGCAGTATTAGTACGCAGTAATGTGCAGTATTAGTACGCAGTAATGTGCAGTAATGTGCAGTGCAGTAATGTGCAGTATTAGTACGCAGTAATGTGCAGTATTAGTACGCAGTAATGTGCAGTAATGTGCAGTATTAGTACGCAGTAATGTGCAG